AAGAAGAAAAAAAAGGAAAAATATTGTATAATGTGTTTGGGGTATAGACGCGGCTGACAATCCACGCTCCACAACCCCCCCCCCCCCCCCCCCCACACCACCACGACCCATCCTCTCCATCCACGGTCAAGCAACGTTAAGCAGTGCTTCAGTTTAAACATCTTACATAATATCTTGAAACCATTTCAAATTGCGTTTTCACACTAATTTTACTGCATCTATATAACCACCTACGGATTTAAAGCGAATGGCACACCTTTTTCCCTTTGTCACAAAATTCTCTTGTAAAAAGGCACCTAAAAAAATGATGACCCTTTTTTGTGCTTGTCAGCAAATTTTAGGGATACAGTGCGCACTCTTTTACAAAATCCTTGATCCGTCCCTGCACATGAAAACCCTATCTGTATATTTTTTTAAATTCGATCTATATGAGGTGCACGCTCAAGGCACAATATAATGTCTGATAAACTGCAAACAAAATAATGAAGAATTCTGTAGTCATATAATATGTTTTTAAAATCATTACTACGATTTTTCTGAGAACTTACCACGCTTGTAGATGTCTGCCTCTTTGCTCTATCTAGAGCCTCTCCCCCTTTACCTCGGACTACAGCTCGACCTGAGAAATATCAAAGAAAAACATAACATTTTGGGAACTATTCTATACAAATCATGACGCAAAAATCGGTCTTTAATGGAAACCAAAATAAAAAGAAAGAATTTATATCATGTTTAAAAATTTCATTTGTCATGTTACTGGTAGATTAAAAAATGATTATCGAAATTAATGTAACTTACAACCTTTTGACAAGTTAAATGTTAAATGCATTCAATTATAAAGAAAGTGAAAAAAGGAACAATAGAATTAGAAATATGGTCTTGTTTATGTCATTATGCTTTATGGGTATCTTGCATAACAAAGAAAAACAAAAGAAGCGAACATTTTTTTTGGATACATAAAAAAAAAAACTTTAAAATTTCCGAAAATGAATTTAAGGCATATTTAGATTGATGTATGTCAAAGTTTACACAAAAGAAGCAAACATAATTATCTTTGATACATCAAAAGGCATTAAAATTTCCGAAAAAGGAATTTCATGCAGGTTTAAATTGATTTATGTCAAAATTAACAACAATTTACTTGTAAATATGGTTTGATAAACGATGTACATGTAAGATATTTTTTTATCAATTCCTATGTAAAGCTTTACAGTTAAGAATGATATGCTGAAAAATTATGTTATTCATTAAATGATTCAATTTTACATTATGAGGCACATTTCATCATTGATTTTTAAGTAGTTGTTTTACCCAAACAAAAAGATGTAAACTGGAAAATTATTATGAGGGCAAAGTTAGTATAGAACAAACATACGTGCATTGCATCTAAAATCCATTTTGTTGCTGGTGCTAATGCCATCTTGGAAACTGAATTAACGACATAAACATGAATGTGTCCTCTTCGTTCTTAACTTTGATCGAGATGGCATGATGCTGAAGGTTGTTTTCTGACTTCATTAAAAAAAAATGTTCTCTCTCTTTAAGTACTCAACCCCACTCCCTTTTATTTCAGGATAAAAATTATGTTATATGTATTTTATTTAGTGGGAAACAAACGAAAGAATTTGCCCAAATACTTCGCGTTCGAATGACCACTTTGCCAATTTGACATTCATACAGAAATAGTGATCTTATCTTTAAACCATTCAAACTTGCGACAGTTTCTTTTACTTTGTAATCAATTTCACACAGCTTAGGGAATAATTGTTACAAAGGTTGAATTTCCTTTACCTTGGATCTGCATTTGCTCGCTTAAGTTAAGAAAACACTGTGTGCATGGGACATAATTATCCATATAGGACATAATATCCTTATGCACGTTGGACTCGACTAGAGGCGTCATTTCGCGGACTGCGTTATTATCTGCGCTAATAAAGCATGCGTCAAGCTTTTGGCCCATACTCCGGTAATTCAACTCACTTTTTGCACCGTTCATTTTACAAATGCTCTACGTGCGATGCCACTCTCTCTCATGGAGCGTCAAAAGACAGTGTATGTCACTGACGCAGTCATACGTCAGATAAATGATGCCTCGTGTGCAATATGCATACGATTAGTATTTTAGTTATAGACTTACCTTGTGTTGATGTGGCCATGAGGAGGCAGACTGCAGCAAGAAAAGCAATGAGTGATGCGGTCTTCATCTGGGATTTAAAAAAATGTATACATTTTAATTATAGTTTCATCTGTGTAGAGCAGAAAATCATTAACTCTATTTAACAAAAAATGTTAAAGTTAAAGTCCTTCTGGCGGCCAGAAAACTATCATTTTCATTCACCCTTCTCTGTTATAATGTCAGATATTTCGATTTTTAATTGAGGCATTATCCCAATAAACAAAATCACGTGAAAATCACGTCAATATCAAGGTATCGACTTGAGGAGAGTTACGTTCTTCAAACACCGGACATTTACGTAAATGTGTTAATACGTTTATTGCACTAGCTAACTTAAAACACACGTACACTAAATCACGCAATTGTCACTGCAATATCACCATTATAATAACGTGATTATCCCTACCTTGGAGACCATGGTTTGTAAACCTAATACTCCCGTGTTTGTTTGGTTATGAAATTACATCTTCATGAACGAAATTATCGCGTCACAGAAACACGTGAAGCGTTAGTGATAGTTTTAGTCAAAATATCTGCGTGAAATTCACGTGAATATTACGAGGCTGACTTGAAATGAATCATGTTCTTCAATCACGTGAAATTTACGTCGAAGAGGAAATATGTTACTGTAACCCGCGTTCAACCCAATAATTACGCAAATGTTACAATATAAATAAGCCAAAATAATGACGTTCTCATCCCGTTTCTGAACATCGTGTCTTGGATCTTCCATAATTACGTCCAGGCGCGCCGGAAGCAGTTTGGGATTAGAGGGGGTGGGGGGGGGGGGGGTGCAAACATCCCAGAAGAGAAAGCTAGTTGCAACTGGTCCAGTTGATGAACCAGTTAATGCCAACTGGTAACCCTGGAAATTGAAATGGGCTAATGATCCAGTTGATCCAGGCCAGTTAGAATTCAACTGGTCTAGCTGAGCCATTAGAACCATTTGGTAAAACTTCCAACCAGTTGAACAGCAACAACACTTCAATACTGGTACGTCTGTATTTCCAATGTACAGGCATTGGTAATAAGTAGACTTACATAATTTAATTATTCGAAATTATTTCATGTACTTGTATTTTATTGAAATTATTTTAGTTCATAGTTAATGTTTCCCTTATTCATGTTTAACTAAATGTAATTTATACGAAGTAGCGAAATGTCCTAAGAACTGGTAATTTATATTTGTAGTATTTTTGAAATGAATTGCATATAACTAAATCATCAGTAATTAAGAAATATGCTGTAAATTCAGATAAATTGTTTAAAAAAACAGAGATCTGCACGCACCCCATATTCAATATGCAAATTAATTGGTGTCAGCTGGTTCAACTGGAAATATGCCAACAGTCAGTCATCAACTACGGTGCAACTGGAAATATGCCAACAGTCACGGCATTATCACCACGTAACTTAAATGGTAACTGTGAAACCATCAAGACACCCAAGAATAACTCATTTTCACACCTGGAAAACACGGAATACCCAGCTTATATTAATAATCCGTTTGAGTCACGAGATCATCACCGCGGAACTGCTGGCAACTTTGACTACCATTTAAATAGGTGTTTTAAGACACCTAATAATTACTGATTTTTCACACCTAAATATCACGGATTCACAGCTTAGATTAGTAATCAGTTTTAACTACGTGATCATCACCAAGAAAGTTATGGTAACTTTGAAACCATTTAAAAAAGTGCTTTAAGACACCTAATAATTACTAATTTTTCACACCTAAAAGTCACGTATGCCCAGCTTAGATTAATAATCCGTTTGAGTCACGAGATCATCACCGCGGAGCTTATGGCAACTTTGACTACCATTTAAATAGGTGTTTTAAGACACCTAATAATTACTTATTTTTCACACCTAAATATCACGGATTCACAGCTTAGATTAGTAATCAGTTTTAACACGTGATCATCACCGCGGAACTAATGGCAACTTTGACTACCATTTAAAAAGGTGTTTTAAGACACCTAATAATTACTAATTTTCACACCTAAATATCACGTATTCACAGCTTAGATTAGTAATCAGCTTGAGCCACGTGATCCTAACCAAGAAATTTATGGTAACTTTGAAACCATTTAAAGAGGTGTGTAAGACACCTCAGAATTACTAATCTAATATAACCAGAGATTCACGGACAGAACAATAAGACGATTAGCCGGTGTAAGTAACGTGATTATTACCATCAACCTTGGATAACATGTGAAACCAATCGATAAAGGTGCTTACAAGACCAAATAATTACGTATTTATCACCACCATCGGTTAACGGACAAAAAACTCGTTGCTTGGTCAAGTGGTTATTTGGTCATAAACACTTGATTTACAGAGGTAAGTGGAATCACGTTACTCCAATCGCGTGATAAATTGGTGGTTTTTAGGTTAGATGAAAACGTGAACAGGAGTACCTTTTTTGTTTAAATGAAGGCACGTGTCGATAACGTTTAAATCTAGTTCAAAAGGCACTATACTTTAAAATCACTTAAAATACACTCCCAAAAGAGGTTACTTTTTAGTGTTCTGTTTATTGGGATTGCTTGAATAGATGATTATGACAAGTTACAAAAAATATGCCGATTTTATGCAATTATGTAACAAATTAGTGCAGTTATTTGATCGCCTTGCATACATACTTCAGATACTTACAGATTTATACATTTGTCTACGTCATGAAACGTAATGTTTGAATGTGGGATTAATTATAAAAAACCCATTTGAAAATATGCATACTAAATATTTTCAATGTCTGTTTTTTTTAACCCTTGTACCAAACAGAAAACGTTTGCTTTGCTGACAGTTAATTTTTGTTTAATAATGTAATTGTTTGACACCCCCCCCCCCCCTCCTCGTCACTTTAACAAACTTTTTGTGAAGACGCCCCTGTTCATCATCATGATTTACTTACCGAGTTGCCCCCTTAATGTACAACTTAAGAAATCAATTCGCATGTCATGAAAAGAAAATACGTCATCGTGATTATCAGAAATAAATGGATAACACAAAATATCAGCACTTACCTTGATGTTGTAATGTACTACTGTTCCTCTAGAGAATACTGGTTTAATAATAATGTATCTCTTAGTTGTTTACTCCAATCAAGTTATGATTTTTAATTGAGAATTCTCTCCCGTTTAGTTTTCGACATTCTTGCAAAATCATGATCGACTACAACAGAGTATACAAAGTGGAAAACCAAATAATCTCTTTGGATGTTTTTACAATACCTCATAATCGTATTGTTATTGCTTGTATTGGATGATTTCAATAACAATGCAATAATCTTTTTTAGTTAACAGTTCAGTTTAATGCATTATTACGCCAAAACCACTGAAAAGATTATTGGAAAAAAATAAACAGCACGATTAGACATAGAAACAGATGCGATAACAGCTGAAATAGTGGATTTTCTTTAAGTCGATTTTGTATTTCGATCCAAAATTTCCTAAAACCTTTAAAAATAATCTTTCTTTCTCCTGATTTGGCTTTCACCCTACCACCACAGTCACTTTTTAACGAACTACCACTCATCACCACCCCACCCACTGCTTTCTATACTGTGTGTGTGTGTGTAAGAGAGAGAGAGAGAGAGGGGGGGAGTGAAAGAGAGAAACCAAAATATGGAGAAAGAGAGAGAGAGAGAGAGAAAGTGGGTGTGTGTATGTTTGTGCGCGTTTAAAGTGAAAGGAGAGGTATATAGAAAGAAGGAGAAAGTGAAAGTGAGAGAGACAGAGAGAGACAGAGAGACAGAGACACACAAAGGGAGACAGAGAGAGACAGAGAGAGACAGAGAGACAGAGAGAGTGATAGATAGAGAGACAGAGACAGAGAGAGAGCAGAAAGGAGGGGGAGGGGGAGGAAAACAAATATATAAAAAAGCTAACAAATATTATGTGACCCTTCTACCCCTCTCTCTTCTCACCTTTATTTATTTTTTCTTCTGTTTTCTTCCATACGTCAATTTTACCTTTGCTTTTTCCCTCTTCCTATCACTTTAAGGGAGAAAATCGGTCACCCTCCCTATGAAGAAAAAAAATTATATTTTCCCTAAAAGTGCAGATGATACGGGATATTTGCAGGGATTTAGGAAACGGATGTTACTAGTTTATCCAATAAACGTGGATTGCGTAGTCAGCTGTTGATCAAGTACCATGCCAGACGAAGGAATCCTTTACATCCCATTGTTTGATCAATAATATTCAGCGAAATTATCAAAAAGATTGTTTTTACAAAGACAGTCATAACATATTTGGTTCGTATATATCTAGAACATTTGCGACATGACTCGAGTTAATTCATTATTTTTATTTTTATTTTATTGAAATATATTTATTCTGGATAACAAGAATCAGATATACATTGTAGATACAAAATCTGCTTTACATCATGGTCATGAACAGGATAAAAATGTAGTACACGGAAATATAAATAATGAATATCACCAAAGCTCACAAGCAAAGGTAAGAACAGTATAAAACTAACATATAAGAATAATATGCATTAAAAGTAGTAAAAAGCACAAAACAAAAATCAAAAACGACAATGTAATAACAGCGGAAAAAACATAAAATCACTTTAATAAAAAGGCATTAAAATATCACCATAAAAAATTGGAAGAGGAGAAAAGATATAAGGAAATTGGTAGAAAGTAAAGGAGGAAAGAGAGAAAGAAAGAAAGAGGGGAGAGAGAAATGGAGAGAGAGAGAGAGAGAGAGAGAGAGAGAGAGAGAAATAAGCCATGTCAAGAGCAGTAAATGAATCGGCATTGTATCACACAGGTTTAAAAAATTGTCCTTGTACAAACGTTATATTGTTTATAATGTAAATTGACGACAATAACTGTTACAGTTACGAAATGGATAACATAAAATAGGAGCAACGACTATATCAGGGACTGAATAAGATCGGATTTTGTTTTGTTTTGGGTAAACATTTGATCGTTTGAGCACTACATTTGGATTTAAAAAATTATATAACAGTTATTACTTCACGCAGGGAAGGGGTGTTTTGGGGGTTCAACTTTCCCCTCAATTTTTTTGTTTCTCAAGGAGGGGGGGGGGTGTGGTGAGTAAAATTAATGCTCCTTAACCCCCTCTCCCCAACTGAGCGAAATATCGGCCGACGCGATTTTCCTATTTCCGGGGGCAAAAATGAATTGCTCACTACCCCCCCCCCCCCCCCAAGCCCACCCCACTGAGCAAAATATTGGTCGGCGCGATTTTCAATTTTTAAAAAACCCTCCTTGCTTGAAAAAAATCCTGCGTACGCTACTGACCCCACCCACCCCCTGAAAGCCCATGAAATCTATACAAACAGCATGGGAGACTACCAAGACATTACGGCCCCATTAGGTGATGACTCTGCTCTCATCTGGGAGGGGGAAGGGAAAAGATCCACCCAGGCGCGTACGCAGGATTTTTCTGAAGGGGGGGGGGGGTTTAAAATTGAAAATCACGTCGAAAAAGTCGTAACGAGCCACTGAATAAGCGGGGGGGGGGGGGGGGAGGTAAGAGGACATTTTTTTTTTTTTTTTGGTGTCCCAAAATTGGAAAATTTGACCGATCGATATTTCGTATCGTTGGGGGGGGGGGGGGGTAAGGTCAGCTTTTTGGGGTCACCCATTACCACAATTTTTTTTTTTTTTTTTTTTTTAAATTAAAAACAAAACAAAAGGGGGGGGTTTCATTAAAAACACACACATACAAATGTTAAAGGGGGGTTTCAACCCCCATAACCCCCCCCCCCCCCCCCTGCGTACGCGCCTGGATCCACCTCCCCACCCCTCCCCCTGTAAAGTTATACCCGGGTAGCCTACGTCTAAAGGTTGATTAGAGAACATGGGTGTGATTGATCAAACTTCACCTTCTGACTCCCTGACTGAACAGAACACAACCAATTGTGAAACCATGGTCACACATTGCCAAGATTCGAGATTCGAGATTCAAACTTTGTTCATACGTCTTGAACCACAAAAAAGATACATGTGATTTCCATTGGCCTTAGGCCTATTTAATATATTCAAAGGTAGTCCCCCTCCCATCAGAATATTTCAAGTACATTATGAATAAATGAAAGTGTTTTATGTGAAAATAAGAACTGTATAAAAGCACATTTATGAAAGATAAAATACTGCACTGTTGATGAACTGTTGAAAGAAAAAGTTTCTGTATTTATTTCTATTTAAATGCGTTTCGTATATGAACGCACTTAATAGGGGGTGTATCCTTCACCTTGATCTTAGAAAAACCCGTTGAACTACATGTGATATATATTTGAATAAAGGTATTTTTTGAGGTGCGTGAGACCATTTAAAAAAAGTCTTTCTATTAGCATGGTTTTGGCAATGCTTCCGGCTCTTGGTTAAGCATCTGCTTTTATGAAGCTTGAACTATCATGAACAGGGGCGTAAATCCGGGGGGATGGGGGGGGGGCTGTATCCCCCCTGGCTTGAAGTAGGGGGGGGGGGATGGCCTGTACAAACATCCCCCCTGATATCATCCCCCCCCCCTGATATTACAAAAAAAAAGAGAAAAAAAAGAAGGAATTTATTAATGTATGTATAACTGTATAGCCTACACGTATACAGTATGTCACTATCATTGAGAATAGTTGCGCGACGTGCGCGAACAAGCACTTCATAAACTTCAGAATAATTTTTCGTTATTTTGCAAGGTATTATTATAGCCCAGACTTAAACGCGAGCGCTTAAAAAGTGCAATCATGTACAGTAGATGGCCGGCTCCCCCCCCCCCCCCCCCCCCACTCAGTGTTATTTAGGGTACGCGTATGCTCGTTCCCTCCCTTTGAAAGCACCCCCCCCCCCCCATCTCAGGACTGCCAACATTTCTGAATCCCCCTTTCGCCGGCTTTTTGCTGGCTTTTCCTGCCTTGGAGACCCCCCCCCCCCGAATCCGGAACACTGCTAAATGTACCACACCCCCACCCCCCAATTTCAGGTGAGCTCTAGTCGATCGAGGGGGCCTGGGGGCCAATGTTTTTACTTTTCAAAATGAAATAATCCCGAATGAGCTTTCAAAGCTAGCAGGAATTTCAGGAATTTGATCCCGGGAATTGATCAATTTTTTGTATGATATTCAAGATATTTTATAACCTCCTTTTTACATTTATCAGGAGTCCAGAGAGAGAGAGAAAAAAAACCCTCCCTTTTTAAAGAAATTAAGAGTCGAGAACGGTACAACGAATCGTCTTCTTTCTCTAATGATTTTATGAAACGTAGAAGCTTCCGCGCCTCGTGCGGGAGGGGGGTAAGGGAAAAACTGAATTCAAATGAGGATTAAAAGTCGAGAACGGTACAACGAATCGTCTTCTTTCTCTAATGATTTAATGAAACGTAAAAGCTTCCGCGCTTCGCGCGGGCGGGGGAAGGGAAAAACTGAATTCAGATGAGGATTAAAAGTTGAGAACGGTACAACGAATCGTCTTCTTTCTCTAATGATTTAATGAAACGTAAAAGCTTCCGCGCCTCGCGCGGGAGGGGGGGGGAAGGGAAAAACTAAATTCAGATGAGGATTAAAAATCGAGAACGGTACAACGAATCATCTTCTTTCTCTAATGATTTAATGAAACGTAAAAGCTTCCGCGCTTCGCGTGGGAGGGGAGGGGGGGGGACTGAATTCAGACGAGGATTAAGAGTCGAGAACGGTATTCTTTCTCTAATGATTTAATGAAACGTAAAAGCTTCCGCGCTTCGCGCGGGGGGGGGGGGGAGGGAAAAACTAAATTCAGATGAGGATTAAGAGTCGAGAACGGTACAAGGAATCGTCTTCTTTCTCTAATGATTTAATGAAAAGTAAAAGCTTCCGCGCTTCGCGCGGGAGGGGGGGGGGGGGGGGAGGGAAAAACTAAATTCAGATGAGGATTAAAAGCCGAGAACGGTACAACGAATCGTCTTCTTTCTCTAATGATTTTATGAAACGTAAAAGCTTCCGCGCCTCGTGCGGGAGGGGGGGAAGGGAAAAACTAAATTCAGATGAGGATTAAAAGTTGAGAACGGTACAACGAATCGTCTTCTTTCTCTAATGA